GTCCTGTGTTCAACTCCAGGTGTACCCCTTTCCTAGACCCCACGGGTGGCCACGGGGAACATCTCTGGCATCATTTTCTTCTTCAGTAAGATGGAGCGAGCAGCATCGTGGCCCTGTCAAGCCATGTGTGGTGCGTTCCGCGTCCTGCTGGGGCAGAGGCCTCTCTGCTGCGTCCTGTGGTGTGGGAGCCTGCAGTGAGGGGAGCGCAGTGTCCCTAGACTGAACTGCGATTTTAGATCACAGGACTCCTTGTAGAGAGAAAGGATGACAGGTGCCATTTAAAAGCAGTGCCCTTCTCACCACTGTATGTGAATGTAGGCAAATGTATGATTCTGGGAAGCAGTTTTGAACTCTCTGGTCCCCAGAATTATTTGCAAGTTAAAGTTTTAACAGAGTTCAACATTGGAAAAATAGATCAATTATGTGGGACAAGAGAGGCCGTAACAGCACCAGCCTGATGGCAGAAGGGGACCCTAGCCTCCTCTGCTTGGGAGTAAGTTACTGCGGCTGCTGTCTTTATGGCCATGCTTTCTAACTGCCGCTCCATAACTGTAGGAATGGAAACAATAATTTTTAAAGTAAACATGTTTAAAACAATAAAATCAGTAAAAATCCCAAGGCACCAAAATATTATGTAAGTCAAATAAAGGGAATGAAAATAGATAAGCTAGAAAGAAAATAAGGCTTATTTAAAAAGAAGAAGATAAAGTAGGAAATACAGCCCCACAATTTTAAAATGAACTAAAATGACAATGTAAGAGGAACAAAAGATCAAAAGGATACAAAGATTAGATGAGCTTTAAGAATGCAAACAAGAGCCTTAGACATTTGAAATGTAAAAACCTCAGTGGACCTAAGAGCATAAAATCCTCCTGCAGGGGCACACCTCTGTCGGCCTTGCCCTTTTCTGTCTGGGGCTTGCCCGTTAAAGCGAAGCGCTCCCTGCGTTACCAGGCAGCGGGGTTTTGCCGCCGGCTGCTGCCGCGCCCCTGCCGGCCTGTAGGGGGCAGCCGCACGGAAGGGCGAGGACGCCCGAGCAGGTGCTGGGGGCTGAGCTGTTTGCTGATGGGGAAGGACCCTGAAGGCTGCTAGCAAAGAGAAGCTGCCCAGCTGTTTCTTTTTTTAAGTCCCTCCCAAATAATGCAGCAGCAATACTCCTCCTTCACTCCGCTTTGGCTTCAGTCTCTGTCCTTCTTGCTCACGATTCAGCCCCAGGTGTTTGCTTTTTTCCTGTTACTTCAGCGACTAGTCTGTTTTGCTCTAGTCCCTAAGTCCCTGGCTTGCTTTGGTTCTTTTTTTTTCCTTCTGAATTTCTAAACCTGTTTGAGAGCTCTTCAGTTCTCTGAAAATACACGCATACACACACACCAACAACCCACCCCCCTCCTCCGCCCACTCGTGGATGAACACACACAGCCGGTCCACACACGCACGCACGTGCCCCGATGCACACGCACGCGCGCGCGCGCGCTGCCCCTTTACCTTCAGCCCTGTCTCTCGCCTGCGTGGCTTCCCGCCCACGGAAACGCCTCTCCAGCTGGCTGGTCCCGTCCATCGTGGCAATGCTCCCCATCTCTGCCACGGTATAGATTAGAGTATTGTAAATTTATTCTTTCCCAGGGAGGTTTTTTTTTTTTTTTAAAGCTTTTCCCCTGTCATCTATAAATAATGAATAATTCCATTAACAATGTGATGAATAGTGTAACTTTTATGCGGAGGTTTTCAAGCTCCATGTTTCAGCGCCTTTACTTTGGAGACAGCCCCGGGCCGCGGCAGGTAGGAAGCTCCTCCGGCCGACGCTGCAGGTTCGCTCGTGTCCCGTTTCCCAGAGTGTGTTCCCCAGGTTCTGCTAGTTCGTGCCTGCAGTTTATTTTGTTTTATTTTTCTAGCATCATGACACTGCTGACCTGAAAATATGAGGTAGGGAATTACCAATGCCATTTATTTTTTTTTATTTATTTAAATTTTATTTATTTTTTTTTATTTCAGTGTAGTTGATTTACAATGTTAGTTTCAGGTGTACAGCAAAGCGATTCAGTTATACATACACATACACATGTATGTTTTCTTTTCAGATTCTCACCTGCATGCATTTCCTCTAGTCCCTGGCTTCCTTTTTTTTTTTTTTTCTTTTTCTCGTCTGATTTTATAAAGCCTGTTTGCGATCTCTTCAGTTCTCTGGAGATACACATACACACACACAAACAACCCATACCCCGCTCTCTGTGCTGATAGGTTTGAGGAATGTAGCAATACACTGACTCCTTTAATGCAGAACTCCCCAAAGCATTTCATGTGCTAATTTTCTCTGGGCCATGCAGTATTTCCAAAACATATTTGGCTAGGGAAAGGCATTTTTTTTCATCAAAACATTACCTCTCTAAAACTAGTGTTCCATGGAAAATAATTTAAGACATAATGCTATCATGACAATAATACATTTTCCTCGTTCGGCAGAGAAACTGTTTCACAATTACTCTTATTGCAGAGTTCACCTCAGTATATTTCCATCAAGTCGGCATTTCTGTATATTTTTACTCCAAAAGTATCATAAAAATCTATCCTTGAGCCCATATATGACTCTGAAGGTCTCCTGAACTTCAAAGCAGAGTAAATACTTTTCACTGTTTTATGTTCATATGGGTTTCTGTTAAAGAGTTCTTTGAAAATCAGTAATCTTTGTAAAGGAAAATAGTCTAATTAGATTTTGATCGAGTGTTGCTTTAATTACAGTGTCAGTACTTAATGCATGTTACATGGTAAAAAGATTATTGGAAGTGCATAAACTGAAGAGCAGTAGAAAGAAAGAGTGAGCAAGAAAGAGAGACTTCAGATGGGCCCCAGTGGGAGGAAGAGTCATTGAAGACACAGCGACACAGCTCTGGTACCAGTGGCAGGCGGGGCAGGGCACCCACGGCCCCCCATTTCAGTTTTCCTTCAGGAATCTCACCTGTATGATAAACCAGGCAAAGCCATCCTCAGTGTGATTTTTAGACACCATTTGGAGGGTGCCTAGGGCACAGGGGACAGGATCTGAGTAACACTATTCTGAGTTCAGTAAAAATTGTCCTTGTTCTAAGATCTAAGAAAGTGCCAATGTGAAGGTGGACTTTCTGCCGAAAGCTGCCACAGAAAACTTCTGTCCTGTTTGCACAACCTCATGCGTTTACCCTCTAAACTGAAGAGAGAGCATTTTTCAATGAGTAATTTCCTAGAAAATTCACAGTTCCAGGGGACCGCAGACCTGGTCTGTGCTGAGCGGGTGCTTCTTTCTGAGACACCACCTGCTTCACTCATTTCTCAGGACCCCATTGTTTTTTGCTGGAACGATCTGTGTTCTGTGGAGATGTGCATTTGAGCGGGAATCAGAGAATCGCAGCCACTGATGCTTGGAGCACAACTTTCAGTATGTATCTTTGGATGCTTTGTTTCAGAGCGAACTTTCCCAGAGCACAGACTCAGACTTAATTTGCCATAACTAAGTTGTTTTCTATCCTGTTAGAAAAAAAAATTCACACACATGTCCTTTACACTCCTCACTGTCTTTTTGGCCCTAAGCATTCTAGCAGGCACATAGTAGGTACTCAGCGGGTGGCAGGTGGGGCAGTGGTAAAATTACCTACTCTCATTTGCCTGTCTTACCATATTTATAGATATATATATATATATATATATACACACACACACATATATACATATAGTTTTAATATGAACTTCAAAGGAAAGAGGAATGGAATGGCATTCCCACCGAAGGATCCTGGGGTTGGAAGGCCATTTGCTCCATCACCACCACGCTGGTCCTTGGACCTCTGAGTGTTCACCTCCGGTGAAGATGAGCGTACCATTTCTGCAGCAGGTCATTCCACTTTGGTTAATGTTGTTGGAATGATCTTCCAGAAAAGGGTCCCCAGTCGAAACCAGCGGTTGGGCAGAGTCAGCGTTGCCTCGCCACGTCCTGCAGGGTAGTGACCACACCCTCTGTCAGTCTCTCTGCCCCCTTGGCTTGCTGGAAATCCTATTCTCCAGGTTCTGCTCCTTGCCCTCTGACTGCATTTTCCATCTTCTTTTTTGACTCTCATCTTCCTGTAGACCCTTGGAAATTGGGATTCACTGGGCCTTCTCTGGTCTGCTCTTACTCTGCTCACTTTGCCAGTCTGCCGTTCACGACCTGGTGTCGGCGTAGCCCTGATGATTCCGTGTGCCCACGTAGGCTGACACATCCCTTGAATTCCGGATGCACATGCCTGTCCACCTCTGGGCACCTCCACCTCAGGGTCCTCAGACTTGCAGTGGCCAAACTCAGCTTAAATTCCCTGTGACCCCTTCCTTCTAGGAAACATCTCCGTCTTCTCCTCCTTTGGAACACGTTAGTGCCTTCATCAGGAGACTGCCAGCTACCTGCGACAAATCGTGCACACGTTGTGAGCCTTCTAGAACACTAGCTTTTTGTACAAAACAGACTCGCTCCTAGTGGGAAGTGACCTGTGCTGTGTGTGCCTGTTGGGTGCTGTTTGCTCACGTTCCAGAAGGCGTCCTGGCGTGAGACTCCCTGCTTCTGGCGGGGAGGAGGCAGTGTGTACACTGCTCACTGCTAACGCCTCCTTAACCAGATGATTGGACACACATCATGCTCCAGTCTGGAGACTCTAAAATCTACCCAGAGCCCCACAGAGTGCGCCTCTGAAACGTGCTCTCCTTGAAGGCTACCGTTAAAAAAAAAAAGTCAAGCCAGTGTCACAATCTCATTTGAAAACCCTTCTGTTGAAATAGCCGTTGCCAAGAACGCATGCTTGAAACAAAATGTGGCGTTTTCTCCTGGAAGATTAGATTTCAGGACGGAATGCGGGCGAGGCAGAGAGCGCCGAGGCTGCCAAGGCCGCTTTCCTGCCCCGGCCTCGGAGATTGCTGGGCCAGAGAGCAGGGCGCAGAGGCCCGTCTCCTCGCTGGCTGTATTTATTTCTTTACTTCTTTTTTTTCCCCCCCGCTTGCCCTGCCTGCAGAACAAGATCATCCTGGACCCCCTGACGTTCAGCGAGGCCCGCTTCCGGCCGTCGCTGGAGGAGCGGCTGGAGAGCATCATCAGCGGCGCGGCGCTCATGGCCGACTC